AGGATGGGAAATTTACACTGAGTTTTCACAGGAACAGGTTGTTTCACTTGCAGTGCTGAGAAGTTCATGCTAAAATTGTCCAGAGTGTGATATAAAACAATCTTTGCACATCCGGAGAAAGCAAAATAGAAACCATTAATTTGACAATGACATGTTTAGGCGACTTTTCATATTTTTATTTTCGTCTTGTTCTTTTACAATTTAGGAAAGATGCGATGTAATATATATATTACAAAACGTGTCGGGACTGTTACATATCTATCTATCTATCTATCTGTCTATCTATCTATCTATCTATATATATATATATATATATATATATATATATATATATATATATATATATATGTGTGTGTGTGTGTGTGTGTGTGTGTGCGTGTGCGCAAGTATGCAGAAAATAGGAAGGAACACGTCAGGTAATTAATCCGGTGTTCCTTAGTATTTTTTGTTTTTATTTTAAGAAGACAGTGCTCCATACAGAAGTAGAGCTTAAATCATATTTTAAAAAAATATTATAATATATATATATATATATATATATATATATATATATATATTATTTTTAAATTATTTCTTAATAATATATATATATATATATATATATATATATATATATATATATATATATATATATATATATGATAAAAGGCTCAAGACTCAAACACTAATATTCCATGGTTATAATTTATTATATTGGAATTGTAAACACGATTCAATCCGATTTCTTTTTGAATTTATAAGTCTGATGAATTGTATCGTGATTACGATTCCAATGTGATAAATTATAGCCATGGAATATTAGTGTTTGAGCCTTTTATATTATATTCTTACTCTGTCCTGGACATTGAGTTCTACCTGGATTCTATCCCCCTGGAAATATATATATATATATATATATATAAAAGACAATAGGAAAACTGTAATAGTTGCCGACGCGTTTCGTTCGATGGGGACATTTTTTTAACTATTAAAATTTTCCTATTGTTTTTACATTTAGAAATATTGTCTTTTTCTATAGGTTAACTATGAGAAATTTTACACACACACACACACACACACACACATATATATATATATATATATATATATATTGACCACTAATATTATCTATCTATCTATCTATCTATCTATATATATATATATATATATATATATATATATATATATATATATATATATATATATATATATATATATATATATACCGGGTGTAACTACAAAATTGTTCAAATCGTGTAACACCAAAAGAGATCAATTGTTTGATTAGACTCTCAACTGATGTATCTTAGAAATGATTAAAGATATTTTACTGGAATTCTTTGAGGTTTTATTACACTGTTCGACTCTACTTAGGCTATTCCCCATATGAGGTAATTTTGGATTTTATTGTTTATTAATTATATGGCTCTGTATTGATACATACATTTTCTATTTTTTGTTGATCAGCTTTAATATTATATATATATATATATATATATATATATATATATATATATATATATATATATATATATATATATATATTTCGCATGCAGTACTGTTTCGCTCTATCACTGCTCCTCATTGCGACTAGACATCCGAATGCCTCAAGCATCGATTTGGTGTCAACCAGAGCTTTTACCACTGAGCTATCATCACTCGACAGAGTTACACAGCTAAATCTAGCGTATTGTTTTTTACGAATATAAACAAATGACAATCAGCCGAAGTGCTCAATCATTTATATATATATATATATATATATATATATATATATATATATATATATATATATATACTTGAATCGTCTTCGCATGAACAATATGTTAAATGGTTCGATTCAGTAATGATAACACAACTGAAAAAACAGTTGAATTCAAAGTGTCTTGTTACAATCAACGGTCGCAACTGCTACTAAATATTACAACGTTTCATTATTATCACCTTGCCGTTGAGGAGATGTAAAATGTGAACCGATAAATCTGTCACTCATTGTACGCAGAAACATTTACCACCTTCTCGCATTCGAAAGATATGATTTTTTTGGTGGGAGGGGGTCGGGCTTTACTTCCTTAATACTTATAATACCCATTGTATTACTAGCCAGACACGACGCTCCATAAATTCGGTGATCGAATGAAAGCCAATGCTTTCATCGTCATCTAATCATTAATATATACATACGTGGTATGATCAAAAAGTATCAGGACTGGTGCTATAAAAAGAAAAGTACAGCACATATCAATTCAGCAATTAATCTCCTTCGAAGTAGTAAGCCCCCCCCCCTGAAGCCACACAGTTCATCCAGCGTTATTTCCGTTGATGGAAGCATTCCTGGAACTCCCTTTTTTAGGTTAGCTAGCAGCTGCCTTGTCACATTCTCTTGGATATCTTCAAATCTTGTTCATTTCATGTGGGTATTGATTCTTGAAAAGAGGAAAAAATCGCAAGGGATGAGTTCTGGGGAATATGGTGGTTGTCAGCCTGGGGAATGTTGTGCTTCACCCCAAAACTGCTGAAAAAATGGTCACTGATGGAACCGCTGCGGTGTAGTGAGACGACCACACTCTACACACTTTCCGTCCAAGCACTGCCATAATCACCATAGGTGAGTAAGAGCGTTATAACTTAGTGTGCATGCGCGGCAGAGATTGAGGTCAATCGGTGCCAAACGGCTTCATTCTACGCTCCTTAATTATAGCAATAGTTTCAATACTTTTTGATTATAAGCTCGTATGGACGTGAAACTTTCCAGAAATCCCTTTCCAATTGATCTTTCAGTCTATAACTTTCAAAAGAAAGATGTGTTTTTTAATCATTTCAACCAAAACAAATCGATAAAGCCACAAGGACAAAGGAGGTTACTGGAAATGAAAGAGAATGCGAAGCCGTTAATGAGGAGAAAGGACGATAAAGAAAAACAGAATTCAGGAAGATGGCGATTAGGGTTGCATTTAAATTTATACGAGTGTAGGTATCAGGAAAGTAAGCAATCGATAGGGAGTTCTACAGGCGAGAAGTGCGAGAAAATAAACTATAAGACTATAACATATGGCTATATCTAGGTATCTGTAAAATAGTGAGACCTAATTGCCAATCGAGTAGAACGCTATCCTGAAGTTTAGCATTAAATCAACCATACTTATAGTAGATAGAAAAAGGTCCTCTATGGTGATTAAATAAAAGCAGTTTTGTTTTTCAGGCATTGAGATTTATAAGCCATTCCTTTCCCCAGTTAACCAGTGATTAGTGGTCCTTTTAGATAGCAGTTACTTGTCTTACTCCATCGGACTTGCTCCTAAAGACAGGAGTAAATAATAGTTATGTCATCAGCATAAATAGCTAGTTGCGAACTGATGACATCCTGAATGTCGTTAACGAAGCTAAGAAAACAATGTGGGTAGCACTGGACGGCCGTTTCGACCTCTATTTGGGACGCATCAGCAGTGTGCATCCACTATCGAAAATCGAGCCCGGACCGTTACGATACGACACAAGCGTCATGCCAACTGTACCAACGAGGTAACTCGGTATAGCGCCGCTTTTCACAAATTCCGTGGTGTAACTCATCCGAGTTTCCCTAACACAACGCACTGTGCTCCCACGAGTCACATCTGTCCCCAAGCCACTCTATCCAGATTATTAGAAGCCGATTCAAGCAAGGATATACAAGTGATAGAAATTATATTCGGGGATTTGAATAATCATAAGTAATTCATCGAGTCTAGAAGAATCCTAAACAGAATGCAGAAAGCACTGGACGGCCATCAGCAGTGCGCATCCACTACCAAGAATCCAACTCGGAAGCGTCATACCCACTGGACCAACGGGTCTCGGTGGCGAAAAGGTAACTTAACAAGACTCGATATAGCACCGCTCTTCACAAATTCCGTGATGTAACTCATCCGAGTTTCCCTTACGTAACGGACGCTGCCTTCATGAGCCACATCTTCTCTCCCTAGGATGCTCCATCCAGAGCATTAGAAGCCGGTTCATGCAAGGATATACAAGTAAAAGAAAGTATTAGCGAGACAAGCGTGCTAAACATTAGTCTACGCTGAAGTGCCTTTATGTCATAGGAATTGTTGTTCACTCCAACCTCCTACTGAGACGAGATGTATCCCAAGGTCGGGCTTAATGTGGGTGACCCAAGCGCGTACACTCGAGCCAAGGACTAAAATTACCCAGCCCCCGGCGACTCTCGGCTGCGCTGGCATCGGTAAAACTACCTATCCCCCGCCTCTAGTGCAATGAAGGATGCAACTTTAGGCAGCTGTTCCACGGGACCGGGAACCACATCGTTCTCATTTCCCCCAGCTGTGTCTTTTCCCGCTGACAGAGCCACAACCATTACCCCACAGGTTATGATAAAATGATTTTCTAAGTGTAGCTTAGTTGCGGCACAATACCGGAAGTATGGTGCACCCTCGGAGGATCGAATTCCCTATTCGTAATTGTTCTAGCGAGACAAGCTTGTCAACCGTCGAAGTGTTCCAATCTCAAAGAAATGGTGATTTTCTAAGCGTAGCTTAGATGTGGCACAGGGCCGAATTATGGTGGTGCAACCTGTGAGGATCTAATGACTGTTAAGAACATCTCCTCCCCAAATATATATACAAATCCTACAGATGCATTCTGGGATTTCTTCATTGGACATTTTTTTTTTATTAGATCTCATCCCCCACACTTTTGTTCTTTGTCTTGAACGTCAGGACGTTATAACCACTTGGCTGTATCCCTTTTATGTCAGAACACAATTCCGATTTTGTGAACATTTGCTTTATTACAGTTGCTTTGCCTACTTTTGACATCCATATACATTGTTTGCTTCGTTGGTCACCCCGAGGTGGTGTAATGGTTAGTAAACATGTCTCGCTAGCACAATTACGAATGAGTAGTGAGTTCGATCCTCACTGGGTGCCCCATACTTTCGGCCTTGTGCCACATCTAAGCTACGCTTGGAAAATCGTATTTGATCTTTTTTCTTCCGTTTCTTATTGTTGAGGAGTTAATTCCAGGCCTACGGCGACATCAGGTTGAAACACCGGTTCCCATACAAATACCGAAGTTAAGCAACGTCGAGCATGGTCAGCAACTAGATGGGTGACCGCTTGGGAACACCAAGTGTTGTAAGCTTGTACGTGTGGGTGATGTAATGAATAATGGCTCGGGATTGTTAATCAGAGAGTCAAGTTCTAATTCCAGTTGCGTTCGTTATACTTACCTACACACAAATACACTTGGGAAAGGTAAGAATCCACCTATTTTCTCCCCAGCTATGGGTTAATTAGTAAGACTGATGTCACTAAGACATTATTATCTAAAAAAACATTCTTTCGATCTAAAAATATTTTTTGGCTTCAAAGGGTTGACAAGCCGTAAAAAAACGATTCCGTCACTCAATCTTTCTTCCATTGAGCTGTAAGAGCACGGTCAGCGAAGAATCAACTACAAGCTGGAGTTGAATAAAGTGTAATATTAAATATCAGTGATTAAATCTGGTATTATCAGTTGGTCTGTAACTCTTACGCACTAATACCCTTGGGAATGGTATGAATAATCCTGCTTCTCCCCACGCCGCCGCTGCCGCCAGCTAGTAAGACTTGTATCACTAAATCTTTATTATCACCAAAAACAAAATTCTTACAATCTAAAATAATATATTTTATGGCTTTAGATGACCTGTAAACCTTTGGTAAGCAGTAAAAAACGAATCAATCCATCAATCAAAAAAAAAAAACAAACAAAAAAAAAAAAAACACCAAGTCTTGGGCACATATAAAATGTTTCCCGCCAAAACTTCTCCAAAGTTTTGCTTTCAAATTACATTTCAAGAGCTCGACTTGTCGACACATCAAAAGATTTTCCTGAAAATCTTAATCATTTGATGTATTTTCCAAACTCTAGGGAATTTATTAACTAGAAATTTTTTTGTAACAAACACGCTGACGCGTGTTAAAATTCTTCCAGTATTTAGTATTGTTGAAGTTATCGCTAACCTTTTTTGTCGACTTTACAAACACTACGTTTCGTTCAATTTCGCAAATCACTCTATGAAGTTTGAATATGCTGATTTGCTTGGAAAAATACTTTGACAAATACACTACTTTGCGGTGTAATAATTTCTTTAATTTAATTTTATAGGACTTCATGGTAAACAATATATTTAAGAAGTTTTTTTTTTTATTTAAGAATTTATTCTTCGCAGTTAAAAAGGAATTTAACTGCGAAGAATAAATTCTTAGGATTTCTTACTCTTGAGCATGCAAAATACAACTGCCCATGCGTAAAAATTGTATTTCTTTCTGGAGCCAAATTCCAACCTTTTGAAGTGTATAGCCTTGTGATTTGTTTATAGTACTCGAAAACGCTGTAAATAGGATTCTTTTTTTTTAAATTGATAGTTGCAAAGTTACGAAAACACTTAAAAAGTAGTCAAAACCGAGTTGTTTTCTGTCGAAAACAACTGATTTCAGCTACTTTTGGCAGACTACGTATTTTTATATTAAAAAAAAAGAATAATACTGCATTTTGTATCCCGTTATCTGCTTGCAATTCTGCACAAATTTTGGTTTCGATCGGCCAATGTATGTGGGTGTGACGGACGGATTAACAGAAGGCACAGAATTTTACACACACACACACACACACACACACACACACACACACACACACACACACACACACATATATATATATATACATATGTGTGTGTGTGTAGGTGTATCATTATGTGTACAGATAGATAGATAAATATTATCATTATTATTATTTTTATTATAAGAGCTTAAAAAAACGTGCTGAAATTACTAAAGAAAAGATTTCATGTTTCAATACTTTGATTGTACTTCTTCAGGCGATTGTAAGTAACTGGTGATTAAATGATTTTTAAAGAAATTTAAGAACAAATTGACACCACTTTTCCGAAAGTTAAAGTGGGTGGGGAACATAAGGCCAGAATTAAAAATAGACTCGTGGGTATGTCTTGATTAACCAATTAAATGTCAGATCTACGCTAAACAGAAAAGTAAAAGTAAATGCTACGTACAGTGGAATTTTACTCCATCTGTTCTATCTCTCATTTGGATAGATAGATAGATAGATAGATATACCCAGCTTGAGAGAGATAGATAGATAGATATGAATGTAGTGAAGAAGATAGATAGACAGACATAGATATGAATGTAGTGAAGATAGATAGTTATATATGGATGTAGTGAAGATATATATATATATATATATATATATATATATAGAGAGAGAGAGAGAGAGAGAGAGAAAGATAAACTGATTGATGTGAAGAGATAGATAGATAGATAGATAGATAGATAGATAGATAGATAGATAGATATGCCCAGCTTGAGGTTGATAGATAGAGATGCTCAGCTTGAGACATATGATTGTAGTGAAGATAGTTATATATGGATGTAGTGAAGATATATATATATATATATATATATATACACACACACACACACATATATATATATATATATAGAGAGAGAGAGAGAGATAGATAGATATATAAACTGATTGATGTGAAGAAATAGATAGATAGATAGATAGATATGCTCAGCTTGAGATAAGTTATGATTGCAGTGAAGATATATATATATATATATATATATATATATATATATATATATATAGAGAGAGAGAGAGAGATAGAGAGATAGATAGATGAATTCAGTAGGTATTATAAGCGATATTGAGCGAGAGGCAACGAATTTCCCTAATCCTTTCAAGGGATAATGGCAGTTGACTAAGTGATAAGTCGTCATTCATAGTGACAAGTCACCCTGTCACACCCCATTAAATTCTATCTCGCACCTCCAAGGTGTGCAAACACCATAGATTGGGAAGGGCTTCTTTAATTCAATATTTCCAGTATAACCGTATCTCTTTTTGTCTACCATCAATAGAAGGCTTAAATACGTATATCGCTTTGCAGATAAATTTTTGTTAAGATACACTCACAGTGTTATATTTATTTTTGCTTGCATCATTTCCATTCTCAGGATCAACACTATTTTAATGTTGTGTGACTCAGAATTAATCTCTCTCTCTCTCTCTCTCTTTATCTGTGGGTCTGCTGATTTCTTTTCTACGTATTTTTTGGGTGGTGGCGAGGTGGTTGTGTGCATTGTTGCCATTTCATATTTACATCCTGGTGGAAATACTCCGAAGTGATATATCGCTGAGTTGGTGACCAATATGACACTCCTGTTTAATCAGATGATGTTTTTTTTTTTTAAATCAGCGTTGCATCATAAAAATACATTATTTCCAAAAAAGTAATAAATGTAACTAATTTTTAACACATATATGTAGCCTGACGTACTATACCAGTTTAGCTACGAAGGAAGAGTCTGGTTATTATGGTCGAAATACTGCTTTTAAGCTACAAACTTCTCATCATTTCCCTCGAACGTTCATATCTGCTCGAAGCGTATCTTAACGTAAACAAATCACGTCATATATTATGAAATGGACTCAGTCCTACAGTTATTTTAAATATGCTTTTTTGTTATTCGTTATTTATATAGACATAACTATTTAAGTAAATGCTCTGTTTATAATAAACAGTATTAACAACATTTACCGACTTGAATGTTCGAAAAATCTCATAAATCATTATACATCCCCCGACAGGAATCGAACCTGTATCCTACACGGAACAGTTAGTTAGCCTGACGTGCTAGCCTATTTAGCTACGAAGGAAGCGTCTGCTTAGAAAATTATGGGAAGTTTGTAGTTTAAAAGCAATAATTCAACTTTGCTAATTGTAAAATATTTCCAGCTGGCAGAGAACCACAGAATAGAAGTTAATCACAAGAACGTACTGAAAAGTCAAAGGTCAGTTAGTTATAAAACTTTGGAGGAATGGCCATAGAAATTACTCAAATCAAAATTTTCGTTTCACATGTGAACACACACAGACCTATGAGCAATTATTTATCTGGCAAATCTGAGTAAACAGGAGCTTTTTCTTTTTTTACAATGAAGTTTACTCTGTACAAGGCCCAAAAGCCACTCAAGGTAGAGGGTTACAGAGTAAGAGGCACAGTTTATAGGGATATGTAGGGAAGATATCTGTTGACCCTAGACTTGAACGGGTTAAGCTTGTTAAGAATTTTAAGTTAGTGATTTCAAAAGTCAAGAAAAACAGAGCTTACATTATTCAAAGTTAAAATAGATCACCTATTGCCCTACCTCATTGGCGTTGAGAGATCAATGAGATAAGAAAAGAAATATAAGCTTTTACAATTTCATTTTTTACAATGATGTTCACCCTGTACAAAACCCGAGAGCCACTCGATGTAGAGGGTTAATAGTAAAAGACATAGTTAATACGTATATGTAGGGAAGATTACGGTTAATCCTAAACTTAAACAGTTTAAGATTGTAGTGATTGAGGAAACAACCTCTTGGGAGTTGGTTTCACAAGTTGGTTTCACAAGTTGGTAGTCTAAATTGAATCTTTAACAGATTCGACATTCGCCAAAATGACAACTGAGATTAATTATCTGTCAAATCTGAGTAAAGGAGCTTTTTTTTCTTTTTTTACAATGATGTTCACCCTGTACAAGGCCCAAAAGCCACTCAAGGTAGAGGGTTACAGAGTAAGAGGCACAGTTTATGGGGATATGTAGGGAAGATATCTGTTGACCCTAGGCTTGAACGGGTTAAGCTTGTTAAGATTTTAAGTTAGTGATTTCAAAAATTAAGAAAAAAAAAAAGACAGAGTCTGCCTATGAAGACGTATTCAGAACAGATCTATTATGGTCAAATGTTAAAGCTTTCGTAAGTTCCACTCGGATAGCTTCTTCTCAAGAATTGTTGCTTTGTGGAACAGAATCCCAGAAGGATGTTTTCTTGATCACTACAATCTTAATTGACCTCTTCAATTCTAAGGTTAACTGTTATCTTTCAGATATATTCTCATAAAATGCACCCGTAACCTTACCACTCATACAACAATCGCTTTCAACTCTAACTTGAGTTGGTCTTCGGCTATGCATAGGGTGAGCATTCGTACAAAACAGTACATTCTGTAATAAGATCCGTTCCTACAGGTTGCCGCATAGTTTTGTTTCTTTCATACTCAATGGGTGCCCCCTACTTTCGGCCTTG